TTTCTAGGAGGCATCATGATGTTAAGATGCAATTTTGTCACTGCTCAAAAGAACCTGTCCAGCTGCGAAAATATGGATTTTGGCCTGGGTCACCAACAAAACCACAGGTTGCTTTTGATCTTGAACTCATGGAGCTACTAAGGCTACTGCAACTGGTCCAGCTGCGAAAATATGGATTTTGGCCTGGGTCACCAACAAAACCACAGGTTGCTTTTGATCTTGAACTCATGGAGCTACTAAGGCTACTGCAACTGGAGTGTCAAGTGTCAGTCAAAGCATTTACAGAAATGCTAAAAAATAAGTGCAAAGACATCCATGAAAGTTTTTATGAGGTATAATTTAAATATTTATTCTACTTGTGTTTTGATTAAGGTTTTCATTCACTTTCTCAAAAACGTATATTTGTAAGTACTAACCAGTATGATTCTAGAATTGTTTGAGTTAAAAAAAAAAGGTCAACAATTTAATCTGGTCTGCGACTTCTTGACCATGTTCACTGTGCAAGAGTGCAAGTGTTATACAAAACCTCGGACCAAATATGCCCATTCCTGTGCCTGGCTGAAATCTGGTTACAGTTTATAAAATGAAAATGTTCAAGAAACAATCATAATATTATTATAGTGACCCTGAGTCCAAGCAAAAACTGCTTACTTTGTGGAAGGGTCCATATGCATTACAAATGGATAAAAGCACAATATACACACTGACACATTTATTTATAGTATGTTTTCGTTTTTGAAAAACATCCCTGCATGCATGTCCGCAGATCAAGCTTTGTCTTGAATGTCTTTTTTGCCAATGCCAGAACTACCCTGAACTAGTCTCAAATTCAAAGTTCACCTCTGAGCTGCTTGGCGATAATGTGTGCTTTGCATTGGATGATGGGACCACAGAGTTTCCTCTGACTGTTCTTGGAGAAACCATACGTAAATAACTTTATCAACTTCATCATTGTTGGATAATTTTCTCAGCTTTTTTTCATTCTTTACCCACCCATTAAAAGTGGCCTCACTGACTCAGAGTTCACTTGCAGCCTTTGACTTGGCTTAGACACACTCTTCTGTTAAGAACTAGAGGTCAGAGTTCCATCATTCCAACAAGTTTTATAGAGCTATGTCAAAAGGAGCGACCAGGAAGTATGCAAAGTCGTGACTTGACACCCTATTGACACCTCGAGTCAGGCCACCCTCAAAAACATTCCTTACTGAGTTATGACTCGGCGAGGGGTGCAAAAGGTCTCTAATAGTATTGTGCTCCTTCTATATTTATTTCCCAGTTAAAAGATGTATACAAGATTCTCATCCAAGAAGCTGTAGCTGAATACAGATTTAATATATTTACCATACAAAATCTCAAAAATGTTTGTTCAGAATTTGATAATGGTACCATCTGCCCTGCTTGTCCTTCAGTAAGTTTTGCTTATTTAAATTTTCTGCATGTCCAGTGATATTTCTTTCTTTCTTCACCTAACTAAATCGTTGGGTAATCAGAATGCATCAAAATATTGGTGAATATTGAATCCCAACTTTAAAATTGTTGTTGAAACATTTCTTCCCTCAGAAATTTTTATATATTCCACTCACAGTTACCAAACATGGCTACTCTACCCTGGTTTTGTAACAATTAACATGTTAATTATGTCAATACCTTTTCAGGCAAAACGTTTAACATAAATAGACTGTTTGTGGTGGGTTCATTTTCACTTGCAAAAACTGCATAATTCTTCTTGTTTTCACTGCCTTCACATGCCTCATAGATAATTTGAAATCAAATCACCGTTGACACATGAATACATAATTAAGTTTGTAAGCAAGCTACAAATACTCATTATTTTTTGACATGGTAACATGAATGTAAATAATTCTTTTCAAAAGTTTTTAGATGATACAACAGATGGATCTAATGTGAAGATGAGTGACATTGCTGAATCCATCCATCCAATTCTTTGACCTACCGGTACATTGACTGGAGCTTAAAGTGATACACATACGCTCTGGGATAATGTGCAGAGTAGAATAGTTTTGCTACTATAGTTCGTTGATGGCAGGGGAATCACTAAATTTACTTTCCCAGTAAAAATGTGAAATGAACTTTGTAATTTATAATGGCTTAATTCCATTAATATTTCAGAAAGAATCTGGTAACCTGGTATATTCGATTGATGCTGATTTCCAGCTAGTAAGAAAGCGCTCATCAGGCTGTGTTTATGGAAAAGCAAAACATGAAGGTTATTTCTTTTTGCCACAAGATAAAGTTGACATTTTTGTTGAGTCGTATAACCTAAGAGGTGTAGATATCACCACAGATGTAAGTACCAAATTTTTTTATTTTATCATTGTGTGACTCTTAAAACTATTATGTGGCTCAGCTCAGTATATAAGGTTGATGGTCTACTTGTTGGCTACCCTAACCCAAACCATGATACCATCTGTCACAATTCAACTTAAAAATGACTTGAGTTCTGTTCTTTCTGGAGAAAGATCACATGTCTAC